GTGACATATGCGAATGTCAATTAAGAAATACAAAAAAATCAATAAACTCTGTGTGCAGCTATAGAAAGAGTTTGCAAAGTAAATACGAAATAGTAAACACTTTACTAAGTCCACAAGAAAATACATACAGTTTTTTACTATTACAACTATTCAAAAATTAATGCAACGAGTGAGTTCAATTGGACGAAATGTTATCAAATAATTTTTATTCTCCGTTTTAATTATTATTTTGTTTTCGATATGCTATCAGTTATGTTGATTCACTTTGTATATTTTGGTGTATTTTTTTTAAATCGACAGAGAATTGTACTTGCTACTCTATTAGCAACACGACTACCCTTATTTGAAGAGTGGGACTCGGCCAAATTACGACTACATTCAAATATTTGTATGGAATCCTACTCGCGCATTTTGGATTCCCAGAGGGATGTTAATTTGTATGTCAACCAGTCGAAATTAATCGTGATTGTGTAGTTGAATACTAGACGATGGCTTGAAAATAAGCCTATTTCTCAAAGAAAGTGAAGCCAAGTATTGAAGCACCATTTCTGTCTTTGCTTACTTTTTATGTCCAGCTTTAAATCTAGCATCACTCAAGTATTAATTGTTATTGATGGGAGATCATGTTCGTTTACACAAACAGCTGACAGACCAGACTGTGACATAGGAAATGACGAGGTGCGAGTAACTTCAATATTCCAATAACAGGTTATGTTTCAGACCTTCGTGTTGCTGATGTTAGGTGCTACAATAAATGTCTCTTTAAAAAAAAAACAAAGAGGGACCTTGTCTGGCCTGGTAGTTAAGGTGCTTGGGTCGCAATTCGTGGGTCGCGGGCTCGAAACCCGATGTCGAACATGCCCTTTCAGCTGTGTGAGCAATATAATGTGGCTGTCAATCTTACTATTTCTTGTAAAAGAGTAATTCAAGAGTTGAATGTGGGTGCTGCCGACCGGTCACCTTCCCTTTGGTCGACAGTTCAAAATCGGGACCGGCAGCAGATAGCCTTAGTGACAAAAACACAAGAAATAGAAAAACAGGTTCACTACTTGAAACGTGCTTTGTAGTGTGTGTGAAAACTGTACCTTTAAAAGTTTGTGTCATTATGTGCTTGTTTTTATATTTCGGTAATTTTAATGGAACAATGAAATCTTAGTCGAAATGGATATGTGCTTCCTGGTTGTATTACAACCTGTCGAATTAAATAATAAAGGGGTAGTTTTGAATATGAAGTCTGGACTGTCATTGACGACCCTTCGAATCCCCGTCCCACCACACATGCTCGCCCCTTTTAGCCGTGGGGGCGTTATAATGTGACGATCAATCCCACTATTCGTTGGTAAAATAGTAGCCCAAGAGTTGGTGGGTGGTGATGACTAGCTGCCTTCCCTCTAGTCTGACACTGCTAAATTAGGGACGGCTAACGCAGATAGCCCTCGTGTAGCTTTGCGCGAAATTCAAAACAAACCAAACAAACAATTTAAACGAATGTAAATATACTTTGATAGACATTTTTTCACAACAACGTATTACAAGATGATCAATGTTTTGAAAAAGTCTACCGTTAGGTCATAGAATAACGTTATAAGTTTATTTATTAACATTATTAAGTACGGTAACGTTTAGCCTAACTAAACTAATGCAAAAAACGTACACAAATTACAGTGTTAACTTGTATCGTTATGGAATATAAGCCATACTTAATAAAGGCTTACCCAATGTTAGGTCTAAGACAGCTGGACTTACAGATTTCGGTGTCTGTGACTAGAATTGTTTAATCCTGTTCTAGAAATCCTGTATTTAAACTATGCCACCATTAATTTTAATTTGCGTATAATATTGAGTTTTATTCGAAAAAAAAATGTAAAAATACTCTAAGCATACAAATCAGTATTGTGTATTGAATTTTAAGAAATCCAATAATTTTTCGCTTTTATTTATTTCAGTTTTGTACTTAGAAAATGATTAATCTCGGTCGGTTTTGAGTTGAATCCAGTGTACTGTCTTATTAAACAATACACACCTATTTTCATCATTATTATGCAATAGTATTATGGCAACCATAGGTTTAGTCATCATTACACACCCCGTACGTTGATACTCTTCACTAGTTGTATTATTTTCCTGTTATGTCAACATACATAGTTTTCATTCTCCGTATCTTGTTTTGCACAATTAGCATGTATTAAACTTCAATCCAGTGTGATATGGGCTCGTACTTTATTTGACCAACTTCAAGGACAGGATCCAGGAAACGATCAGTCTCCGTGTTCGCATGCATGGTTTACAAGACTTAACCTCAGTGTGGTGTTTTCAGGTAAAACCGATTTCTCGAAAAGTTTCAGGCAGGTTAACCCGCAATAACAGATTTGTTCGTGAAGTAAGGTAATTTTCTGTAGCTGGTAACTTAATTCTAAGTTGCATGAGAAATAAACAGTCCGGACATATTTAAAGGACGGTCAAAACAATATTTATACACAACTACAACTAAAAAGTGTGCCTACCTCCTAGACAGGTGGATGATCGCCTCTACTGGATCAGTAAATAGCTCGTCAGCGTTCCATTCCTGACGATGAATATTTGCCAAACAAATAACGATGAAAATCAAGTATAAATGACCAAAGAAAGCACACCAAAATTCAACAGGTAAACTCGCTTTCTTTGTTTAGTTGACAGTGTTACTTCGTGACCTTTGTTCTTTGGCAACATTGGTCAGTTGTCACATCTAGTCAACGTCATACTCTGCCAGTAAAAGACATTCCGGTGCCACTTCTTCTAATCCAGATGTTGTTATTGCTATTGCAATATCCTCTCAGGCAAAATAAACATTACCAACTGAAGAGAACAAAGAAACAAATCAAGTATAACAAGGTAATCTTAACGACTTTCTAAACTACGTGTTGCTGCCATTGCAGAACGGAAAAAAAAATGTATATATTACTAAAGAAGGCAGAAAACGTGATATGCCGACATATCACATCAGTTTCAATTCAAAGTCCAAACTGTGAAGCTCGATCTGGAGTTACTCTATCTCGGCTAACACTGCTATTAATACCAGAAATGCAGTGACGTCATAAAAATCTGAACGAGCTCAACGGACAAAAATACATCTATAATTTTTCAGAGCAACATAATTGATTAATTTACACCCCTCTGTACACTTTTGTAGCTATAGGTGCATTCGGTTTCTGTACTGTTAATTTCTTACACTTGTCTGTTCCCATCTCGTCCATCTGAAACAAAAAAAACAAAAAACATACATTTTGACATATTACATAATGTTAACGATTTTTAATAAGATTGCTCCATAAATTTGATTATTTTGGGATAAAGTAATAAAACGTTTCCTAAACCATTATAAGTTACAGCCGTCGTAATATCATTTTGGAGAACATGATGAGTAACTAAGCAACCACCAGATTACCATGCTAGGTTGTATGACGGGTAGAACTATTATTAAAGGGTGCATGGTGAAAAGCGTTTCCTAAGTACTCGCGTATAGTACGCATTTTTTTTTCCATAATTTTTGGACTCAAATATGAAGTGCTCTCTATACGAAGGAACAGTGTTCTTTCAGTATATTTCAGGTGCAATTTTCAGTCTGAATGTTGCCTCAACACATATATATATACTGTCTAATCATCGTAAAAAAGAAAGTGAAAAAAAACAACTAAGAGGAATAAACAAATCTGAACTCCTGACATCTTTTAGGCTTCAAGTCATTCATGTATAACTGGGTTTATTTTGTCGGTCATAAGAACTGCACGATTTATATGCTGGTATTCGCTAATAATGATCAGTCCAAATATTAATCGGGCAAAACATTTTCGATTTTTTGGGGAACTTTTGCTCTGATTCGTAAGATGATTTTACTACCTTATGCCACAATACATTCACAGCAACATTCAATCGTAGTCACTCACCTATACTTTATGTAGAGGGCATTGTTTAAAAACACATATACACAAATTACAGGTGATCATGAACTCAGCCTTTGTTTGTTCATTACGTAATACGGTTAATTGGCTGACAGTTGTATTTGACACTTTTAATTTTTTGCATTTGTTAAGTTTCGCGACTTGTTTTTATGTGCCTCCCAATCAGACCAAAATGTGACACACACACACTCTCAGCTTAGAGCTGTAAATTATGTATACAAATTATGTTTCACTTTTCTTTAGGGCTAATAATTGTCTTACTTTGTTTTAATGTGTCATCATTTTATTTTATTGTAGCCAAGGTCCTCAAAACATAGAGGTGGCCCGGGCCTCTCTGAGAGGGCCTGACGAGAGTTAGAAAAGTGCATCAGTGGCAATTATTCTAGGAAAACACACATTTCTTTCAGGGCTAACCTTTCACGGTTAACTATGTAGAAGTAGGATACACTTCATGTTTTGTCATGTGTATATGAGTTTACAATTGTAAGGGATCACTTTGTTTTAAATATTCAAAGTTCGGTTTCATGGAGTTAGATATCTTCAAGAAGGCTCAAAGGGCGCCTAACAAATGAACTTTAAAACCGATGTTCGTAGACAGTAGACCACTAACGTAATAGCTAGTATACTGCTACACATTATTGTGTATTACTCGTAAAAAACAATTAATATGAAGACAAATTCTGACGCCTGTATCTGTTATCAAAAGAGGCGGGCCCGGCATGGCCAGGTGGTTAGGGCACTCGACTCGCACTCTGAGGGTCGCGGGTTTGAATATCCGTCCTACTAAACATGCTCGCCCTTTTAGCCGTGGGGGCGTTATCATGTGACGGTCAATCCCACTATTCGTTGGTAAAAGAGTTGGCGGTGGGTGGTGATGACTAGCTGCCTTCCCTCTAGTATTACACTGCTAAGTTAGGGACGGCTAGCGCAGATAGCCCTCGTGTAGCTTTGCGCGAAATTCAAAACAAAACAATCAAGAAAGGCTAATACAACAACATTTTACTTGGGTACAGACATTACAGGATCTATGTTTTCTATAAAAATAATTTTGGAAGCTTTAAGATGACGCATTTATTTAATCATTTATTTTTCTAGGGCCCTTTTTCGGTATGGGCGATGTAGGAAACTTCTGGATAAATGTAAACGAAAAAATCTCACCGTCCCGAGGTTGTTCCAACTTCAAGTTCAGAAACATCCTCAAAAGCCCTGTGTCTTGTTTGAGGACCAAGTGTGGACGTTTCAAGAGGTTAGTATTGTTTGTTTGTTTTTGAATTTCGCGCAAAGCTACACGAGGGCTATCTGCGCTAGCCGTCCCTAATTTAGCAGTGGAAGGCAGCTAGTCATCACCACCCACCACCAACTCTTGGGCTACTCTTTTACCAACGAATAGTGGGATTGACCGTCACATTATAACGCCCCCACGGCTGAAAGGGCGAGCATGTTTGGTGTGAGAGGGATTCAGATTGCGAGTCGAGTGCCTTAACCACCTGGCCATGCCGGGCTTGAGGTTAGTATTTCAAAGTTTGAAATAAGAAGGAAAATCCCTGTGATATATTGTTTTTGTAATTGTATCATTTTTGTGATAGCTGCTGTTTTTTCGATGTTTAAAAGACATTGAAGAAAAATTATAAAATCCTTGCTTCTTGTTTACACCTTTTATTGTTTTGCTTTCGTTTTGAAAACAATAAAATACAGTTTATTTTGTTTCATCGCCCCTATACTGAAATATATAAAAAGAAACTCAAATAAAAATGGATACCATCCTTAAAAACAAATTACTAGTCACTCCCACCCTCTTTTTATAAGGCGAACTTCCCTGGCCAACAGTGTATGATATGTGTGTGTGCTATTTTAACAGTATCTAAAACGTGTAGTAAACAAGTTAGTTTAAATTGGTTGTAATGTCGTTGTAGTAACCAAAATGTTAAAATTTAAATTTTGAATTTAGGAAAAAAAGCAATTTAGTATATCTCTCAGAACGGTCTTCCCATAAACACTGCCTTGCACACACGCCCCATCTATTGGCCATTTTGTCAAATACACAAAGCCATTTTATATCGATTATTAGACATTATTTGCTTCGTACATTTAAAAATAGAACTCTTAAAGTGGCTGCACCTGCTTAGACAGGCTTTCGTTAGACTTTCTAATTATTCCATTTATTTAGCTTTTAAGGCAAAGTTTAGAATCGAGGTTAATATTAGAGCTACTAATGTTTAACTTAACATGAGAATAATGAGAACGATATCCACGAAACCTGTCGATAGTTACTATCATTGATAATAACTTTTGAATGGAAATAAAGAAGAGTATACAATAGTAATAATACGTCATCTCCACTGTGTGATTTGGTCAGGCAACTCAGAATAGTGTGCAAAGCATGCCAGTGCTAGGGGGATCTGGAGGCATGACCTGGAATAAATCATTTTTTGGGGTAAAGACACCCTCTCCCTTGAGGTAGCGATAAAAGTTATTGAGGATAATGAAGGAGCTTAATCAGTACTTTGGGGCTTTGAACCCTGCAGCAAAGTACTGGTATTCTATGTTAGTGTTTTCAACATATATAAAGCTGTAAAATCAAATTTATTTACATGGGTTTGAGAAAAAGCATAATAAGAAATTGTTATTCCATTAGGACACCTGCCTGTGATACCTGTGTGTGTGTGTGCCAAGTTCATTATCCCCAATAACTTTTATAGCTACTTCAAGGGAGAGGGTGTCTTTACCCCAAAAAATCCATTTGGACACCTGTCTGTGGTACCTGTACGTGTGTGCCAAGTTTGGTCCTTTTGTACTATAGAAAAGTAGTACTACTAACGTGTATTGATGATTTATCAGAAATAACGTACAATATCTTCTTAATTTATTCTGAAATTTTAGAAGAAGAAAAAAGTTTAATCCTGCTACCTTATGAGTAGGGGTATGAAAACAGCTTTAAATGTGGTTCCCCTGGGATCCAGAGCAGGCCAGGAACACAAAATGTGATTTCAGATTCAGAAATCCTGTAAACCTAGTCATAGTGCCTGGGTGCTTTTTCAGGAGCATTTTAACTCCCTCCCTCTTTGTAGGCTGGCTACTACACCCCCAGGCCACCCTAAATTCCCTTGCCAAATTTGGCACTGTTAGCTCCAGAACTATGGGAGATGATAACTGGACAAACATACATATTCAAAGCTACAAGCTGAATTAATATAGGATAGTGACTGCTTGACATTAAGGATTATCCATTTAGTGATTTCTGCCTCACTAAATATGTACCAATATAATTAGATTTAATGATCAATTCAACTTGCCAAATTTTGCACACAGAAAAATGCAACTCCAGCTACTTTGCATGTAGTTAAAATTTTAAATGCTATGAAATGTTCAGATAGTTGTTGAATACATTTCAACAACATCTTTCAGATAGTTTGCATGTTGAATATTTAATACCTGTACTAGTAAAGTTTCCTACTTTACTACACTGTAACAGCCTTGAAAAATTATTTATATATATATATATATATGTATATACAGTTAGGTTTGTACTTGGGTAGTGGTTTTGGGAGAATAGCTCCAATCACTTTAATGTTTAGTTTAATGAGTATAAATTTTGTGCTGTAGAAGAGTAGTACTACGAACTTAGGTTGATGATTTTTCAGAAGTAATATAAAGTATCTACTTAATTCATTCTGAAATTTTAGAACAAAAAACAGATTCTTGTAAAATGAGTATTATATTCAAATATAAACTTAGAAAAAATAACTTAATAGCTTGGCTTGTGTAATTGCTACTGTATTGTAGATGTAATAAGTAAAAAGTAATATGTGTTTATGATAATGTAATATTCTCATTTTTCTCTCAAGGATTTGTATGACTTTCTTTGATTTATTGCATAGCTACACTATAAATTGTCTGTGCTGTGTCCACCATGGGGAATCAAACCCCCTAATTTTAGCATTGCAAGTAAATAAACTACTGTCGACTCACTGGGCCAGGGGACTGTTGGGGGAATAGCATGTCTGTAAAATTAGCTTGCCATTGGAATTTACTGTGGTTGATAATTTTAGTGCTGATGTTACTTTGTAGTTGAAATAATTGGTTTAACAAACAGGGCAGATTTTGAACAGTTTGTTTATTTAGTGAAACCTGTTTTAGTTGTATAATAGTGTTTGCTCAGGAAGTGAATGGTGTTCCATTCTGGTTTTAAATACATGGTCAAGTAGTACTCTTTTGAAAGTATGTCCTACAAATCACCCAAAAAAATGATGCTTTATCCCAACTGCTTTGACAAACATGTTATACCACATGTATTTATTGTGTTCTTCAGGATGGAGGCAATTATAGGCTTAACAAACACTTTCTAACTTATTCCTAGCAAAATATGAAAAGAAGAGTTGTCTCCACTGTATCTTGTTGAACAAACAAATGAGTTTACAACTATTTATAATTCTACTAAAATTGTTTTTGCAGATTGAAGATTTCTCAAACAGAGTAGCCAATTACTTTGCAGAGCAGGGATTCAAACCTGGTGATGAAATCGCTTTATTCATGGAGAACAAACCAGAATATTTGGCTTTCTGGTTAGGCCTGTCTAAGATTGGAGTTGTTACTGCTCTCATTAACACTAATCTGCGATGGAAAACATTAGTGCATTCTATCACAGTTGTTAAATCAAAAGCCATTATCTTTGGAGGATCACTTCAAGATGGTAGGTTTGTAATATTTTCACTAAAGTGCCATGCATGTTTTTAATCCTACTTCAAGTATGTCACAAGTTCATAAAGACTAATCCGATTTCATTTATAAAACTGATCAAACCATCACAAGTTGCTCTGATGTTTTAGAGCTTTTTGTGTCAGTGTAGTGGTTGGAAACTACTATATTATCAAACTTCCTCAATCACTTTTATTTAACTAGTTATTTGAAAATTTTAGTGTTTCTGTTTCACATTTAGTTTTTGTCCTTGTCTACTATAACTTTCCTTAATCCAATCACTAGGATATTTGGATATGGCAAGTTAATGCCTACACATTTTTATCTTTCTATCTTGAACAGTCACTTTGTGTATATATGACTTGGTCATGGAGAATTGTTTTGAACAAGGTATAAAGATATGTTTCCCTTCAATTATAAGTAATATTCATGAATTTTAACATCTGCCACACAAGACAGCCAGGCATTTTGATGTGGATCCAAAAAATGAGTCATTTTTGAAAGTTTTGGGATGTTTTGATTAGACAAAACGAAGACGTTTTGCACTATTTTCGAGGTATAGACCTTGACCTGACCCAAGACCATGAGAGCCAACATAGAGAAGTTAACTTGTAAAATAAAATGAATGTAGCAATAAAACATGCTTGAGTTGTTCACGATATGGTTGTGAATGTGATGGTTTTAGTTTAGTGATTAAGCTAAACCGTGGGTCTAGGTCAGATGAGGGAAGAACTTGGTCGAAGATATCCAACTCGTTTGGACATACCAGCTGAATCAGAGATTCGTCAGTTGAGTGAGGTTGATGAATATATTTTCAAAAAAAAAGAACACTTAAAGAAAAACATAATAGATCAAGTTTTGAAGCCTAAAAGTAATTACTGAACTAGCTACATTAATGAGGGTTGGTATTTCTTTTAAACTTCAGTTTTAAGCTGATCATAATACAAGTTTTTTCTGGTGCTTATTTTGTGATGAAAGCATGGTTTCTAATTTTCAATACTAAATCGGATCTATTTAAAATTCATTTGTTAGGAATTCTAAAATATTTACAAATGTTATATAAATATTTTTTAAGGAAAGCTATAACATTAACAAAGTATTTTCATTTTAACAAATACTCATTCACTTTGATAGTAATCAAAGAAACATAATTATATTGATAGAATGACAAGAAGCTGTTTACCATTTCATTTATATGGAAGTCGTACATAAAAAAGAATAACAATTTAGAAGGTTTCAATCTTTAAAAAAAATCTCAACAACATAAAATTACATTTTGGGGAGGACCATATTCTGAGTTTTTAAGATGTCCATATTTTTTGTTATATTAAGACTGTTTTTATTTTTAAATGAATTGTATTGTAAAGAATTCTTTAGACAGACTATTTGTTGTTGACTCTTAGTTTTGCTTTAGAATTAGATTTGTATTGTTTTCAGCTGTGGAAGCCATCCGAGCCACATTAGAAGAAGACGACAGTGAAATGAAATATTACTGCTATGAAGAGGGTAGTGAAGGCTTTTCTCCAACCTCACTCAACACTTTATTGCAACAAAGCCCTCCTCACCCACCTACAACAATGAATGAATTTAGTTTCAGCGGTAAGTCATTTTATGTATTTGAGTATTTAGAAATTTTAGATATGAGTAACTGTTATGAAAGCTAGTAGAGTTCTTTTTGTATCCCAACTAAAACTGAGTGCTTAACTCGATTATCTGTGAGCATCAATTACATCAAATAGTATCATGTAAATTGTTTGGTTAATTGAAATTATTATTAGATAAATTAATGTCCCAAAAATAATAAACTAATCAAAATTATTGCTATTTTCAATTATTCAAGTAACTGAAATATTTCTATAATGATATTTTATAACGTGTATACCATTGTGCTAATGGAAGTAGTACTAGCTGTCATGTCGAGCATCACTTCAGGTGGTATGTATTTGAAGCTGAATAAGTTTGTTTTAGTTATGGCAAACTACTGAGGCTATCTGCCACCATGTCTAATTTTGAACTATCAACCTGAGGCTGGTAACACCCACTGCCATCCCTTGGGCTGCTCTTTTACTAAAGAAACAGTGCAATTGACCATGATATTTTAATGCCATTACACCTTATAGGCCAACATGTTTATAATGTAATAGCCAATAGTCAAGAGTAGCACAAGAGTTGACAGTGGGTACAGCCAGCCAGTTGGCTTCCCTCTAGTGGATGTTCTGCTTGTACACAACCAGCCACGTTTGTTCGTATTTACCTTGTTTAGACTAAACAATAGTGTAGCTTTAACTGAATGTATTGTTTACTTATTACTAACTGAAAATGCAACTAATGTTACTTAGGGTAAGATTGCTTTAATATATTAAGTTATAGTAATTTTACACTAACCCATTGACTGCGGCTGCTCTAAATGCATGCAGAACTTTTGCAAACCACACACCATATATGGCACTTTCGCATTCAACTGCTGGAGGGGTACCATACCCTGTATGGGTTCATTATTCTTTATTCACTTAAATAAAATGTTGACTGCTGAATAGCTTGCTCATTTAACTGTGTTTGTCAGAAACTATTACATATAGGCTAATAACAGTCTCACACTATGTAACACTGTAAGTTGTTAACTCTGAAAAGAGAAAACAAAAGTCTGACAATGTATAAGTAGGCTGCAATTGAAATTTAGCCTTTATAACATGCTATGACAAATAAACATGTAACAAAAATAGACATATATTTAATAAGCATTTTGCTGATTTAAAATAATAAATTTTTGGCTCACTTTGCGCTGGAATATAGTTGTGTACAAAATAATGACTAATTTTACACCCGTGTTTATTTTATTCTTCTCTATCTCCAACAAGTGAAGTGGCTGTTAAGTTTTTTGTCCCTTTGTACAGTGAAGAGCCAACTAATATATATATGTGCCTGATTGCTTAGATGTAGTTGTATATGTTATGTTTATGATGGCATTAGTATAATTGTACTCATATGAAATCATTAACTTGATCCTCAGAACTAAACATACATAACTTATGTGAACTTGTACCTAATTGTAATCTTACTAGTCACTGTTATATTTAATGTTTTTCTGATATATAATCAGTGTAATGAACTAATGTGTAATTTTCGTCAACAAAAATTCAGTATTTTTAATATGGTAGCCTTATGTAAATTTGTAGGAAGAAACTCATGGAACAGTATTAATTACATTTCCAGCTTGTCACAGACTTTGTACTTTGTTGCATGTATGATAATTTTCATTTACAACAGTTGATGAAAATATAACTTAATCCTAAAATGTTATATCTGAAGGAAGATTAGTTCAAAAATGTCTTTAACAAAATCATAAACAAGATAAAAGTAGGAAGATTAGTTTCATATGAGAATAATAGATTAGTTGTGTGTAGTTGATTAATGAGAATGACGATTAATGGATTAACAAATTCCACAGAATGATCATCTGTACATCTAGTTACGGTCTCATTAGTTAATTTGTTAGCAAACTGGTAAACGTTCATGACATCACTGTGTTGTAGAATTTGCTGATACCATACAGAACTTCTACTTGTTATGTGTAGTCATTCTTAAGATGCAACTGGTTAGAATAATTAACTTCAAAAAATTATGCTTTGGGCTATGCCTTCCTTCAGGAAATATTGCTAAATACAATGAATAATCACTATCTGAAGAAGGGCATAGCCTGAAAGTTTTATCATATACATGTTACTTGTTAACTTTTTATTTCATTACACACACTGTCCATTTTTCCTCTTTAAAACTCTAAGTGAAAAGATGTATCATTACTCAATTATGTTTGTAATTTTAAATAATCTATAGAAGGTGATAGCTGTTAAAAAATTATCAGGACACATGGTAGTGTACCATGCAACCAAAACACCTTGCGGAACACACTGTGTGTTATTAACAGAAATGATATTTTAACAATTTTCCACTATCTGTAGTTCAGACTGTGGTAATCCAAACTATCACATATTTTCAGTGGGTGTGCTCTACTGGATTCTTACTTCACATTCCAAATTTCAAGGCAATCCATTAAGAAATACCTGAGATATAAAATCTCCAATTTTGATTGAGTTTTTCTTTTTATTTTCTTCACATAGAAAGTACAGAAAATTTATTTGATAGAAAAACATACTTTTATGGATTTTTTTCACATTTAGTGCACTGATTGATCTTTACAATGTACAATTAGGTGTCAAACTTGGTCTAAGTATAAGCCACATGTGCAGAGTTATTCATCAAATTTGACCAAAAGTTTTGCACACACCTAGGCAAAAAATCTTGCTAGCTATCAGTCTGACATTTTTACTACAGCTTCACCTAAGTGTAAAAGTGAGCCTTTTTTGAGCTTTTTTTGTCATTTGGATTAAAGACAGCTGATTTAGATCAGCAAAACTATAAGATGAAAGCATGTGCAGATACACAAGTATTTGTTAGGCCAAGCAAACTAGATTATCTGTATCTAGCTCAAGTGTTCAAAAGAATCACATGGATGGATGGTTATTATTCATTGCCAACTTTTAAGCATAAATTTGCTAAATTTTATGACATTCCCTTAATAAAGAGCATTCGGCTTCACATGTTATTAGTTTTAACCAATTAGGGTAAATAATGATGATTGATAAAGCTATACTGAGTGCATGCAGGTGATGACAAGAAATCATGGCATTACTATAAATGAAATTATTAACACCACCATATATTTTAAAGAATCTGAGTGATTCTGTAAAGTATACGTCTGTTCCGAATATTAGGGTTGCGATCCTAAAGCTAATGTTGGTTACTGTCGAGTGTCACTTTCTTAGTTGCTGTGGTTTGTTGGTGTGTATTGACAAAAAGTTGTGACATCTAACTAAAAACACCTTAGGTGTGAAAAAAAAGTTGCAGCCAAAAAATGATAGATCATACGACAATCAAAATTGATGGCCAAACTGGTAGCTACACTTATAGCATTGATAAGAATTTTACAGCAAATATTCATTTGTTAATTAGCTTTGCTGTGTATTTTGTTTTACCCACCATCATGCCCCAAGTTGAACATAATACGCAGCCTCGCTGACTAATGAATAAATATTTGCTGTAAAATTCTTATCAGTGCTATAAGTGTAGCTGCCAGTTTTGATTTCAGTCCTTTAAGTTGCATACTAACTCTTTCTTCTTCTTATTCTTTCTTCTTTTTTTTAAAGAAATAAAAACACTCAAACAGGTCATTTCTTTTCCAAAGTTTTATTCAGTATTTTTTGAGCAACCATGTTTTTTAAGAAATTAAAAAATTAGGTTTGTGTACCAATCTCTCTTTTATTACTTGTGATTGCAAATATCTGAAACTGCATATAAAGGTTATTATTTTTATTTAGTTAATTATTCTGTAGCTTTACTAGTATTATATTAGAACATCTTTCATTTAATGAGAGTTTGCCACACAAGCAGTGAATTTGTGTCTAAAATCTCTTTTATCATCAAATTTAGCATAATCTATTTTCTAATTCTAAGGTGTGTCCAATTACACTCATAGTATGGTATTCTCAAATAAACTGACTTCTGTGCTTAAAAGAAGGGTGGAGTAGGAAATATTTAGAGTAATCTGAATCTGAAAACTTGCATGAGAAATAAACAGATTGGACACATGAAAATAGTTATTAGTTAGACACAACAACAACTTGATAAAGATCCACACCAGTAGCTCGAAGCATCATAAAAAATCCTAGACTGATGCTGTCCAATGCCTTTCAAGTATACTGTTCTCTGTCTAAACTTTCTCTCAAGCACAGAATCAATATATATATTTTGAATGGCAGGGATTAGTGTTTCCACATAACATGAGTTGCTTTTACAAAGTAAAGCCCAAGTGTGACTTGTTCACTCAGCTTCTTTTACTATCCAACCTGTTAAAAGTCCATGTAACTTATCCATTTAACTTTTATATTTCTTCTGTTGAATGAATGTATAAACTTACAGCTCAAAAACTTGGTTCATCATTTGTAATATGATACTTATGAATTAGTACTTGTATAATATTGCTTAATACTTAAGCTATTCCTTTTTTTTTCTCCTTAACTTGACGTCTAGACCGCTTGTTGTATATATATACATCAGGAACAACTGGATTACCCAAAGCAGCTATTATCAAACATAACAGGTGAGTTATGTATTTATTCATATAGCAAAGTGTGCAATTTTATAATGATTTAGTACTTTATGATGTTATTTAATTAATTATTTTGTAAAAAGTGCATCTTGATATTCTAGTGATCTGTTACTTTACATTATATAACCAGTACAAGCTTGGAAATAGTGATTTTGATTTGGAAATATGTGTGGATGATTTGAACTTTTAAAGAATACTGTAACAACTAATCCCAATGTGATTTTTATTGATTGTGTGAGTGTTTGTTATAATTAAGTTCCAACATCACACACAGTGAAAAGCAAATGAGTTTTTGGCTGAAGTTGTATGATGCTAATTGTCGTCATACATGTGTACATGGTGACATTCACTAAACTTTATGTATTGTATCACAATAGAAACCTTAATATTGATTTGCTACATTCATGTGAAAAAGAATCAACCAGCGTTCAGATAGAGAGCATGAGTTTATTTTGTGTTTTTAACTTCTACAAATTCCACTTAGAGTTTACAAGTGAGTGAATGAAAGTTGGGGCCAAAAGTACAAGCAATTTACAAACATGCTTAAAATTAATTTCATATTTTTTAAAATGTGTGAATTCATGAAAAGACAGTTGCATTTACTTTACATTGATCGGGTTAATTGTAATAGAACATTGGAACACATAAATAATATTAGTCCAATGGTGAGTAATTCTTTTTGTTGAACATTTAGCACAAAAAATGCAAGTGGATGATTAAACAGATATCAAGTCTTAATGGTTACCATCTAGACAAGAGAAAGAAATCCATAATTTTAGCTCTTTAATTATAATTTTTTTCTATATACCATTTTGCCAATGTTGTTAAGTATGTTAACAACATTGGCAAAATCTTTTAGCGTATGTTTATATACTGGTTTAGAAGCATAGGACAATAGGGTCCTTATGGTTGGGGTGAAATGTGATGTCCTAGTTATCTATATCTGAATAACAGGTTGATTTAGCAAGAATAATAAATGTCTGATAATGACATCATGTGCTAAAAACGTATGGAGATAAAACTAACTTCCAGTGGTGAAATTCACCTTAGTACCCCCACACAGTCCAACCTAATTACAAGTATATTATGACCTGAGTAACATGTGTACTGTTTGGTATAATATTTAATCAGTATCCTTTAAATCACATTTAATTAAAAATTTACATAATGATTTACAAACTTACATAATAATAGGTTCACTTGTGTATATTAGAATGTACTTATAAAAAAAAAAGTGGACCAACTAATATAATACAGGTGAGCTATTTTTGTAGTATATCTGACTCAACATTTGATATAAAAAAAATTACTACCATACAGAAAAATAGCTTTAGTTTATATCCAATAACCTAGGCAGTAAAATTTGACGCATAACACAGAGTGACTAAGTCTGTTAATCATCAGATATTTTGATCCACAGAAAAGTGCCTGATGTAGAAATTTTAAAGTTCTTGAAATCATATTTTTTAGATATGATTTCAGAAGGGAAAACCATTTTGGTTTAAAAATAGCAATCAAAATTCATAAAATGTTGGAAGAATGTTAAGTGTTATAAAAGAAATATTTCTTTTTGACAGAGTTTTATTTTTCTTGAGTAAAAGGAATAATAACATAAATAATAAAAAAGTTATGCAAATGAATTATATTTCATCACGATGTTCTTAATATAAATCCTCAGAAATAATGCACCATGAATTTCCAATACGGTACATTACCTCTTCTCACATAAATAACTAGTCTCGTTTAATGCTGCCCTCTATATGCAAAAAATTTTTTACGCATGCCACAAGTCTTCTATCACTACTCCATTGGAATTCACTGATTCCAGTGCATCTCTCATGCAAATCATCATGCGTCTACCTTCCACCAATAAGAGTGTGACATACTCTGTTGATGCATGTGATTCCCTCTATTCAATTCTACTGAACTATCACTTCTTGTTTGGCAGTATTCATGTTCAGACGTTTTTTTCTTTTGGTGCTCTTTGTGCATTATTATTGTTTTCTTTACATTGAAGAAATCTATTAATTTAACTTAATTTCCCCATCTTTATTTATTTTTTTCTCATACTCAAACACTTTTGTTTGATTTATAAATTTATATATATATTTATATATTTCTACAATGAATTCTGAGGTTCATGTTCCCACTTCAGATGTTAGTATCTCTAGCACTATTTTTACAGGCTGCAGATGGGAGAGACCCATCATTGAATTTCTCTGCTATGATCCATCGTGAGATTGATCGTTATATGGGTCAACCTTCTTCTCTTGAACTACCTCACTAATCCTTCTGAACAAACCAAACCTGATCGGGCTGATGAAGATTTGATAGCCTTGTTACACCACCAGATTTTGCCATGTATTTTCCTACCCCTCCTCCAGAATCAGCTAGGCCAGTATGGCATTTTTCTACGTTATTTCTCAGGTATGTTATGTTTTATCCAATACCCCATTTTTCTATGATTTCTTATTACATCCGTGTTGGCTCGTTTCACTGTAATTGGGATTTTCTGGATCAATATGTGACCTTTTCCCAGATACGTTTGCTGCCTTTTTCTTTCTGGGATTTCTGTATTTTTTATTTGGTGATATGTTTTCGATAATGTATCTGAGACTTTGGAATCTTGTGTGTAATTTGTGCATCAACACACGACACATTCCTCTTTGGTTGCACGTTGGTCACAATTGGAGCCACGACACACCCCTATTCCTTCTTGTCCCCTTTCAGGAGTTTCTCATCTTGTTGTTTTATTCAACGTTGATAAGCATGTCACCAACAGTACCAGAGGGTTCTGGTCCAGTGGGACCTTGACTATATTATATTGTTCCCCTGTGGTGATCTTTCTCTACAGTTCTATGAGTTCTTCAAGTTTTATCAGAGGGATTTGTCCTACTATTTCTATCCCCACCTCCTTTGTTTCTAGTACCTTTTCCTTCCCCATGACTTGGGATCCTGTCCCAAGGAGGTACAATATTTTCTGTCACTACAGGCCATTGCACCAGTTCATCATCTTTCTCCAGGATTTTATTCCAGGCTGTTTTTGTCCTCGTACCAATCCAGAGACTGTACTAGGTTTGTCCCACCTCATTCTCATTTTTCAATTTGCCCCATTTTACCTAAGGTGGGCTTTTTCTCCAGTTTTATTGATGACCAAGAATAATGTTACGAATGATTATTTGCATATTCTGATATTTTGTCACTTGTGACCCTCTCTTTGGTTTATTCTCCACATGGCATTTTCTCTGTTTTGTGCTCTGCCCTTCAGACTTGCTTTGGCCTTGTATGTTTTGTAGGGCATTCATAGCATTCACTCATTCCAAACAGTAGTCTTCCTGTTACTCTTATCAGCTGCTCCTGGAGGCCACTATAACAGACTGTTAATCAAGTTGGAGAAATCTTTACTGCGATCTGTCCAATATCTTGTCCATTTGAGTGTTTTTCTTTTTCTACACACATCTCAGTCGTATCCATCCTTCTCCTCTTCAACTTTGTTCAGTGGGTTTTCAGTTTGATTACAGTTCGCAAAGTTATATTGCTTTTGGGGATGTGATCTTCCATGGTAGCCCTTATCCACTTAGATCAGGCTCATATGTGGGCTCTTTCATTGGCTTTGCAACTGGTATTGTTTTCCTACCCCACATGGATGTTGGTTCCAGGTGGCCTGGGTTTTAGATTGTAGTTAACTTGCTGGTGGTATGAGCCTCTTTCCTACCCCCACATGGATGTCAGTTGCCAGCGGCATGCGTTTTGGATGTAGTTGATTTTTCGTGTATGATCTGTCACTCCCTAGTCACTCTACACCTATGGGCACATCCTTTTCATTTTACCCACTTTTATAATTTCTGGGATTGAGTTTCATAAATATTGCATGGTTCGGATCACTTTCCGGCCATAGTTTTCTCCCAAATCGATGTGCTCCTCTGTTTTCTGCTCATATATGTGACATCTTTCTACGATAGTCAAAGAGTATACCTGGTTCAGAAGTGGTGTGGTTATTAGAATCTGACTGTCTCATCTTAGGGAGTGTCCTTCTTTCTTTCCTTCCACCTATTCAATGTGAAATTCTAGCTATTTATGTGAGTAGAGGTAATGTGCCATATCAAAAGTTATAATTTTCCTATGCTGAAAATATATTTGTAATAACTATTTACCTCCTCTCACACTTCCCACTGAAAACTGATGCTTCCATCTTCTGCCAAAACTTGAAGTGATAGATATGTGTCTTGAGAGTATGTCGCTCTCTTATTGGTGGAGGGTTGACACATGATGATTTGCATGAGAGATGCATTGGAATCAGTCAATTCCAATGGAGGGGAGATAGAAGGCTTGTGGCATGCATATAGAGGGCAGCACTGAACGAGAATAGCTATTTATGTGAGATTAGGGTAAGTGCCTATCGAAAATTCATTTTCATTGTGGAAAAGTTATAACTTTTGTGAGTATAATTATGTGTATGTTGTATAAACATACTTCTTGTTATGTTAGATTTAGCAATATGCATGCTTACTTATAGTTGCTGTACACCTGACCATTTGATAAAACTGACAGTCACTTTATCAGAATGACAAAGTTTGCTTTACATTTAAAGCAAGGTAAAACTTAAAAAGTGAAAAACAAATACAAATTAAAATTCTTCACTATATAAATCAACATAGTTCTTTTACATTTTTGTGTTCAACTTGAGCAAATTATTCAACCCATTATACATATAAGGAAAACTGATTTAAATAGAAGTTTTGTACATTTCACTGTTTGTTTATTTTTTTATTATGAGCAGCTTTTTCATCAGAATAACTTTGTGATACAGTGTCAAAAAATATCCACAAATTTGCTAAATATTTTTTTTCCAGTATGACAGTTAATGTGTTGTTGTTGTTTTTTTGTAAAGGCTGAAATTATAATGTTTATAATTAGAATATTTAATTATATTTGTAATGCAGGTATGTTTGGCTTGGAACAGCCATTCGTTACATGCTGAATATACCAGATGGTGAAATTTACTATACAAGCCTCCCACTGTATCATTCTGCTGCTGGTGTTACATTTGCATGTCAGACTGTTGTGCATGGAGATACCCTTGCACTCCGTAAAAAATTTTCTGCCTCCAAGTTCTGGGAAGATTGCATCAAATTCAATGCAACAGTAAGTTTCAGTAATTTGCACGACTCATAATAATATCTTTCAAATATCTGGCATTTTTATTTTATATCAGTTATGGTTAGCATGTTTTCAAATGCTAAGTTATTGTGTTTAATTGCTGTACTAACAGGTGAATTAAGATATTGTTGCGTCAGCGAGGTCATGTGACTAGTGTCACGCCACCTCTCGAACCTTCGGGAATAGTCGGGAGATTACTAGATATAGGGTAGTCTGGTATATATATAAGAGGGTGACAACATGACGGGACAATGTGTGTGTAGACAGTGAGTAATTGATCTGCATTCAGAGAGTATTATTGAGCATGTTCGTTGTTATAGCATTTGTTTTAGCGCAATTGTTGAAATTAAGTGTATCGTAAAGTTATATTCGGAAAGAATAAACCAGTTTTATTAAGTAAGGACTTGTGTCGCTAAAGTTTCGTCGGAACGAAGTTACGGAAAGTTAATTAACAAACGGAGACTTAACAATATACTCTTACTACTTTTCCTTTTCAACACAAGATACTGGTGCCAAACAGCTATAAACTTCTCAAACTAACTATCCAGTGTGCTTTTGTTGTGATGTTTTATTCAGTTCCCAGCACAGCTACGTAGTGCCATGTGTAAAGAAAACAGGGGACTTTTCTAGGTAACTTTGCTGAACTAGACACCAAAGATTAATGGCTTTTTCTATATATTTATGTGTAAAACTGGCTTGAGAAAGAAGAAAGGGGGTAAAAAAAGGCCCAGTTAACCTTTTAACACTTGCAGGAAATAATGTTAATCTTAATATGTAAGATTACAATAAAATAAAGTCAAATGAAAATAACTTATTAATATACATTTGTACTAATTTACTAAATTAATATAACTGTAAAAATTTTCAATAGCTTAAGTACTTACAAAAGACCAAAGCCTGTTAGTAATTGATGTAGTTCTTATAAAATGTAAGAAATGTAGTGATAAAACTATGCTATAATTAATTAATGTATTATAAATATAAACAGGTGACCCAATATATTGGTGAAACCTGTCGCTATCTGATGGCCCAACCAGTTCGACCTGAAGAGAAACAACATCAAGTTTCCACAGTTATTGGAAATGGTCTCCGTCCTACTTTATGGTCAACTTTTGTTGAAAGATTTCAAATCAAAAAAGTTGGAGAGTTTTATGGATCCTCGGAAGGAAATGCAAACATCAGTAAGTAGAATTGGCAAGCCTTCTAGGGTATCTTTCTATCTCTTCTGGGTTTTTTTATGTCTTTAAGAGGTTATATTCATTTATTCCTGAACAATGATGTATATTTACTAATTAATGTTTGAGTGACCTAATTCATTCCACTCCATTACTTTCATGCACATAAATTTTTCATTTAAGTATTAAGTATGTTTGTACTGTATCATTTGTTTTTAGATCTTTCTTAATTCTTTTTTTTTAATGGTCTCTTTCTCTCAAAGTTTTGTCTCTTCTCTCTCTCATCCACGTGTTCTCTAAATACATGTCTTCTGCCTTTAAAGATGTATTTTATCACTGTCTTTGTCTTACAATTTTAAATTTTTTGTAATTTTTCAAAACTTCATTTTTTCAAAAACTAATAATTAAAAACTTAAATAATGATTAAAACAATAATTTTTATATATGTACCTGATGTTTGCAGATTTTTACTTGAGTTACCTTTAGTACTTTACATCATATTTTATTTGTCATCATGTCTTCTGCTCTTTCCTCAGCTTCATTGTAAGCTGTTATTTTCAAACCTTATTTGCATTCTCTCAGTTTTGCCTTCTAGAACTTCTTACGCTTTACCAATTCTCAGCTGCTTCTGTCTTTCTTAAATCTACTTTCATATCTTTTCCAGCTTTTCTTACTCTCTCCCACATTATTCACTTGACATCAAGAAAGATTATGGCTTAGAAATGTAATTGACTATTTTACTGTTCTTCTGTGGTAATTTCTACGAGATCAAACAATTTTCCTAATGGTACAAACTTTCAAGAATAACTTTTGCACCCTGTAAGTTTTTCACATTAATTCAAATTGAAGAGGAGTATTTATTGATTATTATTAAGAATATATAGATTTTTCAACATCTAATTGTGGGATGGGCTGAAAACAAAATATTTTACTTTGCAAAAAAATAATATAATGTAGTTTTTGTTCAATTATCTCTTGTTTTATTGAAAGACTAATGTTTGATGGGATTTTATTTAATACATTTATATACACGTATACAAAGATAATTACAAATGTAAGATCATTAATGGTAAAGGAACTGAGATTTGAGTATTCATATTTTGATCAAATCTAAGAAGTATACCCCTGTCAATAACGTATGTATTGAAACTGTTTTGTGCTTCCGAGCACATTTTTTTCTTGTTACAAAAATCATTACAAAGTTAAACTTATGCAAGTTTTTTTTTTTTGTGGAGTTATGAAGTTTATTGTTTGATTGGAATGAAGTTTGATAACAAAACTTTTATTTTTCAGTCAACACAGACAACACTACCGGAGCTGTAGGTTTTATATCGCTAATCATTCCCTCTGTGTATCCAGTAACACTTATCAGAATTGATGAGGCTACTGGAGAACCTGTCAGAAATAGAAAGGGTTTGTGCATAAGGTGTAAGCCTGGTAAGAAAAATGTTTTAACAACAAACTCTTCTGGATTTGTATGACAACTATGTGGAATTTAAGCAACTAATTTTTTTTTTTTAAAGAAATAAACATCCATAACAATTAATTTGACTAAAAGCCTATCTATTTTGTAAAGCAGTGTGATACACATAAGAACCAAGAAGGTACTTCTCTTATTGGTCAGTATCATATTTAAAAATAATTCCTAAATTTCAAAAATATTTTCATTGAGGCCAAAACTGTTCTTTTGTAAAATTAAATTTAAAACTTTTTAAAGCATTTATGGAAAGTTGATTAATAATTTGTTATTTTCCTAATTACATCATGTTACCGTTTATGATATTTTCAACAGAATTTAGCAAATTCTGCTATACACACTTATTCTTTTGTGGATTCCTTTTAGCATAACATTATTTCACATAGTGTTATCCAACGAAACAATCCATTGAACTTAAAATTTCACTTGAATAGAATTCCATAAGGTTTTAGTACATTTAATAAAAGAAGATTGACAAAAAAAACACATTAACCAGCAGTTTTAAACAAAGTTAAATTACAGTTTTTCACTTTCATAAACAAAACTTTTATCTAGTGGATAACATCTGCCATTATTCATTCATTTCAATATTTTGTATTAAAACAAATTATCTATTTTGAGATCGTCTCAGCCAAAAACTGTTCCTCATTGAAATAATTATTTGTGAATAAACACGATGGAAACTTTTAATAATGTTAGTTTTGAAGAACAGAGATAAAATTGTGAGCATTCATACTGAGGCCATATTATTTGGTAAACAATATACATTATGCATTCATGACCCAAGACCTGTACACTAATAACATTATATGATTGAGTTTTGTATTTTAGGTATATAAACAAGAGTTCCAAACTTTTTATCTTAGTAAGAATGTTGAGACAATTATCAAGTTTGAAAAATAATTTTTTTTTCACTGATGGTGAAAAACTTGTTCAGTTTTTACAAGTTTTCATGAACAGTTTTATCTTTAAATTTGCTCTAGATTCATTTAAAGTCCATCAAAGGCCTTAAACGGTTTTTTTTTTTAAATATTGTTTGAGAACATGGTAAAAGCTAATCAGGTAAAATTTTAAATTTTGGCAAAGCAGGCATTTGTTATCCAGCTTTATTGCGTAATTAAATTTGTTTTAATGTTTTTTTTTACTTCTAACTTCATTTATAGCTTAACTTACTGGTCTAATGCAGCTGTAAGTTATTGGCAACTAGTTTAGTTAATCAAGAGGATGTAGAATAGTTTTGATAAACAAGAGGAAATATTAAAAAATTAGATCTTCGAGCAATCTTGTCAAGTAAACCTTGTTTTTAAAATTCTTACCTAATTGTATAAAATATGACCTAAGGTGTCAGAAAAAAACACCAAAGAAGACATAAGTATCTACAATTCCTTTAAAGGTGTTATTTTTTCAAATAATATAGATATTTTATGAACAGACTAAAATTGTTAGAATGATAATTAAAAATCAATATTTTGTTCAAATAACTTATTTTACATTGTCTTCTGTGTTAACTGTGTATTCTGAATGTTGAATATGTTGAAAGGAATGTGTGATTTTAATAACTGTTCTCTGTTTCCTTGGTAGGAGAACCTGGTGAATTTGTTGGAAGAATAATAATAAATGACCCAGTTCGTAATTTTGATGGATATGTGAATGACCAAGCAACAAACAAGAAAGTTATCAACAATGTTTTCAGTACAGGAGATTCAGCATTTCTCTCAGGTACTTCTTTTAAAATAGAAGTATGGTTTTTGTGAAAACAAGTGTTTTATATTTTTTTATATTAACTGAAATAGTGCTTAATTGGTACATTAAACAAAGTTCAATTATCTATCTTTTTGTGAGGCAAGCTAGCAGAAAACCACATAGGAAAGAATATGTAACTGCCATAGCACCAAGAGCAAAGAACC